GCATTGCTGATGAGAATGGCTGGAAACCACCTTTCCATAACATCTCTAACAAGATCAGACATACAATCATACCCTTTCATCAGCTCTCCAAGGAAAATGTATCCTAAGAAAATAATCAGAGATGCACACTAAGTTCTACAAACAAGGATTTTCATTACCTATCATAACAATATAAATTATAAAACTCAAATATCCAACATCACATAAACATTTAAGATATAATTACAAAGCATGTTCTGAAAATATTTAATGACAAAATGCTCATTGACATCTGTTAAATAAAAGAGAGATCTCAAAAAGATATAATAGCCATTTTATTAAAAATATATACATATTTATGCTTAGAAAAAGAATAAGCCCTGTTTCAAGGGTCCCCAAGACCACCCCAGGTTCGATGATCCCCTAGGACCCACAGGACTCAGCACACAGGTCCACTCAGAGCTAGGATTTATGACAGTGGCTGGATTCAAAGCAAAATCAGCACAGGGAAAAGACGCAGGGGCAAAGAAGAGAGGAAACTAGGCAGGAGCTTCCAGAATCCTCTCCCAGGGGAGTTGCACTTAACTCTCCCGGCAACAGTCGTGACAACACAACCCATGTGTGAAGCGCTGACAGCCACGGGAGCCCATTAGAGACCCGGTGCCCAGGGCTCTTTTTTATTGGGTGCTGGTCACATGGGCACCCTCTGCCTGGCACGTACGAAGACTCCAGACTCCCAGAAGGACAGCAGGTGTTCAGCATGAGACAGCTAAGGAACAGGGGGCCCCTCTCATCAGTTAGGGCATTGGGCACCTTCCCGACATCCCAGTTCCCAGGCACCAGCCAGAGGCCAACTCTGCACACAGGCCTCTCTGAGGAAATAGTCTCAGCCCTGCTGTGTGGACTCTCTTCTGCACAAAATCAAAATATCAATAGGGTTATATCTGCTTGTAGGACTTATTTCCTTCTTTATCCTCATTTTCTTTCCCAAATTTTCTGCAGTGATCATATATTTCCATTATAATCAGGGGAGAAATGTTACACTCTTTTAAGAGTTCTGTTTTGCCTGTTTTGTCCATATTATATCAATTTTCAGATTTTACATAGGGAAAAAATAAACTTCTCTGATAGAAATAACGTAAGAAGAAAGACAGCAGAGAACTGGCTAGAGAGGACAGAGTAAGAATATTGGTGAAGAAATGAAGAGCCATAAAATGAATGAAAAATAAAAGATGAAAGAATACATATGAATACTTGATCTATGTCATGAGGATTTCCAATTCTATCCCCCAGTAAAATAAGCCTTTACAAAATCATTTACAGAATGCAGACTTTATCTCTGAGAAACTCCTATTCTGAGGACCTACAGCAGACAGCTCAGTGATTCTAGCTGTCAACACAACTTAAATTCTTTTTTTAACCCCACTGAATATAAAGATCATAAAACCTTCTTAACTATCCTTCCTTCTGATGACCCCCACCAAAGAAGAGAATTCTAAATGAATCTGAAAGTTTAACAACAACAACAAAAAAGACTAAAAATATATGGACTTAGGATATGGAAGACCAGAGTTTAATCCATGAATCTACCATATATTATTCATATGGTTAAATTTCCTTATCTGTGAAACAGGAGGAGAATACTACCTACCTCACAGTTGTAAGAGTCAAATGAAAAAATGCAGGTGCAAGAATTTTGTTTAATAGTGATGATAAAATACTAATATCAGAAAATCCTTACATAGTCATTCAACAATGCCTACGATGTGCTGGTATTGCATCAGGTCCTGGAGATATGGTGCTGAATCAAACAGACATAGTCCCTGGAAGTCAAAGGGCTTACTGTGTATTAGAAGAAGAAGAAATTAAATAAGGTGTAGCAGGGGACAGCAGGCAGCATTTTAGCAGTGGCCAAGAGAAGGACTCAGGGCCAGATGCTTGGGTTTGAATTCCAGAACTGCCACTTAAGAGTTCTGTGACCCTGGGCCAGTTGCTTAACTTCTCTGAACTTCAGTTTCCTTACCTGTAAAATGAGAACACTAATAGTAGGGTTACAATCCCCAAGGGATGTAATGAGACTTAAATGAGTTAATATCTGTAATATTCTCAGATCCACATCTGGCCATAGAAAATTTCTGTAAAATAAATAGAGTCTAAATATAAAGAGCCATGAGAACCTCATCAATACGTTGTAAGATTAGCAAAATTCTTAAGCCAAATACTCTCTTCTCTTCCAGAGCAAATCTAGTAAATTTTGTTTCAGTGGTATTCCCAAGGAATTAAGGCTTTAAATCCTATATCCCAGTAGAATTAAAACAGTGCCAAATGTCCAGTAAATAACTATATTAAATCTATTATAAAAATAACTACATATACTTCAAATAGGTTTGACATTTTCCAAAATAGAAAAATACAAAGCACTTTCACTATATTATCTTACTGATCCTTCCAAAAATCTTTCAAGGAAAGCATAATAGAGAAGGAAGAACATTTGGCGACCCCGCGTGACTTATCTAAAGTCAGAGAGCCAGTAAGCAGGGACTGGAGCTGATTGTTGACACCACATTCTTCTTCCACACTACAATGTGAACGTACCACCTACTTCCTAAAAGTTGAAAGAAATGCCAACCTAGAGACTTGAAATCGTGGCTGAGAATGACTAGTGTGCCAAAGGGAGCCTCGTTTCCTAGCTCTGAGAGTGCCTCTCTCTCCTTCAGCAGCGAAGGCAGAAACCAGAGGCCATGAGCCTGAAGCAGTGTGTTCAGTTCCTGGCAGGTAACCTTTTGGGAGACCATCCCATAAAATTAGTGTTACACTTATCAAAAAGGATGTGTGACTTTTATAGAAAAATCTATTCCATTTGGGAGAAAGGTCTAATAAAACCACAAAAGGATAATACATTCATACAACAAATTAGATTCATCTGTCACAAGCTGAAATCCCAAAGCCCTAGCCCTCTGGGCCCACAGCTGCTTTTGTGAGCTGAAACCAACTCCAACTGAGAAACAGGTCAACTTTTCTAAAAAGATTTCTTTTGCAAATGTCTTAAGTAAAAATTCCTTTCACTCACTCATCATTTTCCAGATTTAATGCCCCTGCTGGCCTTCCTTTCATCTAGGCCACAAGTATCAACTACATGTCTACTATGGCCCGGACTCCAAGCCAGGCATTTGGTGAACACAATGAAGATGGCCTGTCCACACCGTTACAGAGGAAAGGAAGATAACACAATCACAGTCTTCAAACAGTGTAGTCATTGCTTAGACCAACTTCAGCTTTGGCCCTAACTAGCTTGAATAAAAAAGAAAAAAAAAAAAAAGAAAGCCTGTCATACATACCACGTCTCATTTCTACAATGAGAATGAGAGGGTTAGGTTGGCATCATTTACTGAACATTAACAGTCCAACCTGACAACATGGAGGCAGGCACACAGAGGCATCCACTCAACTGCACTAACATGCACGTGGTGTCGAGGTAGAGAAGGCGCCAAGCACAAGGGTCAACCCTCAGAAACGCCCATGCATCTGGGGAGGAAGGAGACAGACAGGGCATCTAAAGGCTCCAAAATGGACAGAAACCTCCCAAGACCTCCTCCGCAAATGAGATAGGGATTTACAGAGGACTAAGCCTTACATGTATCATTACCATGGTACAGGGCACCCACCCACGGTGAGACATTGAAGGAAAAAAAGGGTCACCAGCCACCTGAGAGTCTACTCCCAATTCTGCGATGAATTCACTCTATGACCCTGGTTAAGGCTGTTAGCTTCTGTGAGCCATGGTAAAATCATCTGAAAAACAGAAGTTAAGAAAACTGACCTGCATTTTCCACAGAACTACTGAGGAGATAAAATAAGATAATGGATTTTAAAATTCTTTGTGAACTATGAAGCAAAATACAAATGTAAGAAATCATGATCAACAACAATGTACAATTAAGACCACAACATCTCCCTCCCCGCTGCTCCTAACCAAAAATCCAGACATCGAGACAGCGACCAATGTACATGGGCAGCCCTAGTATCCAGGCTTAGAGTGATTCGAGCGCTCCTAAATGTCCGTGGTGTTACTTCCTCCAAGAGGTCATTAAGTTCCTGGAGAGAACCAGCTGACATAAAATATCACATCTTCTTCCGATGTGCTGAGGTAATCCAACCTTACAGCACAGAAGCATGAAGAGGTTTCTACTGCTAGACTCCAAAGTTGGCTTTCGTACATTCCCTAAGCATAGGCCAAAGAGGATGCAAATGTCATAAGATGATATCAAATTTTCCATGCTTAACCCAGAGAAATCACACAAAGTTGGAATCCCCAGAAAATGTATTCGTAAAAAAGATTTAATGACTTCTGTTTCAAGTGCATACAATATAACCTCTAACAGTTAGTTTCCCCCTCTCTCCAGCCGACTCCACTAATGCTGTGACACCAAGGAAAATTAATATGACTGCATGCTCTTCACAGCTGAAGGCTAAACAGAGAACACAATACTTCTCCCTGGGCTCACTAAAAATGATATTTACCCAAAATTAGGCTGCAAAGTCCCCGTATATATAGATAAACAATTGCCAAATTACCATGTTCTTTGTCCTCTCCTAAGAAAGATGGATTGAAATGAGGAATCTCAAAGTCAAAACTAAAAGAAGCTTTAAACCATACAGTCCAACCCCTCCTTTTACAGTTGAGGAACCTAAAGCCCACATAATGGAAGGAGATAATTTGGTTCACTGACAAAGCCAAAGCCAAAACCTAGTTACCCACCCTCTGGTCCAGAACTCCTGCAACGATACTGAACTATATTTTCTGTTCTAATGAAGGAAAGAAAAAAATGAGGCCCAAGCAAAAGCCATTTAAGAGATTATTTAGTACCTACTCAAAAGTAATTGCTTCCCACAAAAACACGTAAGTATGAATATGTAAAGAGTAATTTCAATTTTGTTTTAACTTGTGGCCCATGTTCACAAAGCACCAGTCCTACTCTATGCTCCAATGCACACAGGGCACCCTTTACCCTAATACTCACCACGTGATATTACACCATCTGTCCATGTATCTGTCCACCACACTGGACTGCACAGTCATGAGGGCAGAAGTCATACATCATTGTCTTTCTATCCCCAATGCATAGGCTGTAAGACACTCAATAAATGATTACTGAACTAAGTAACTAAAACACTTCAAACTTGCATTAACAAAATTGACTTAATAAATTTTGCCAATGCAGATTTTGTGCCACACAGCTTAAATATCAACTTGTGGATTTAGCCTGTGCTCTGCTAGACTAGCATTTGCTAAATATTTAGTGAGTACCTACTATGTGCTAAACATTGCTAAGTGCTGGGGACCTAGAAGTGACAAGAAAAACAGTCCTTGTTCAAAAGGAAGTTAAAGTCTAATGAGGAATAGGAGAAAAAATATCTGCAGACTGATGAGAGAGCTAAGAGAAGCAAGTCCAGGATGCCATGAGAAGCGCCTCGCCTTTTCTGGAGAGTACATAAGTGACAATCTGAGAGCTTCCTACAGCCTGAGATTGTGTCCCCTGAAGCAGTTAATGAAGCTGCAATAAAATGATTGCCTCGGTACCAGAAGTCACCATAAAGGAGTTCACAGCCACATGCTCAGTTCAGAAAGAAGACCAAAGAAACAAAGCCGCAGGATTATTCACCCACAGAGATTAAAATCAGATTTGGGGGCAGTGGTCCAATTATGAAGTCCCTTGGTTACATTCATTTGAAATTCAAGGTATTCAAGAGGCCAATACTTAAGTGGCAAGTTAACCCTACCAGTTGAAGCTAAAGAAACCCTTGGTTCAAGGGCTAAGAATGCATTGTCTTTGACAAGTTTATTAGCTCTGGATATTTACATTAAAAAATGACAATGAAATAATTGCAACTTTATTGAGCACTTATTATGTGCGAGGCACTAAGCTAAGCACTGTGCACATATGGTTGCCTTTAAACCTCAGACCCGTCCTGTGAGATGGCAATTGCCCTGTCATCCCATCTTATAGATTAAGAAAGTCAGGTACATACAAACTTAAAAACTTGCACAAAATTACACAGCTAATTAGCAAAACCCAGGCAGCCTGACTCCACAGACCTTGCTTAAGTAATATTTATAAACTGTCCAGCACAGTGCTGGTACAAACAAGAGTTCAATAAACACCTAAAGAGCATTTCACATCTGCTGTGAACAACTGATTGAATTGTTTACCCAAAGTTCATAAATTAGAAGCTTAATTCCCCCTGTGTTAAGGGTGGGAAATCCTATTAATGCTAATCAAAAGGTTGGGCCTTGAAGAGGTGATTGGATTGTAGGACCATGCTGTAGTGAATGGATTAATAATGGTGGTCAGGGGAGTGGTTTTAAAAGAGGACTTTTAAAAGGCTTTAAAAGAAGAGCACATGAGAGGTTAGTCTCTTTCTTCTCTGCCATTTCCTGCCATGTAAGACACCTCACCAGATGTGTTCCCTGGACTTTGGACTTCCCAGCCCCTGAAACTGTAAGCAATGAATTTTGTTTTCTTTATAAATTACCCAGTTCTAAGTATTTTGTTATAAGCAAAAGAAATGGACTAATACAATACCCAAAATCATTTTGTTCCGATCAAACTAGATGTATTGTGGTTCTGCATAATTAACTGTCAAATCACTGCTCCATAAAGAAAAGGTAGAATGAATAGATATGAGAATCAACTGAGGAACTAGTGAATATACTGCACAGTGGATATTAGCAGGATGTGGTAGTTAGGTAATTTCCACATTTGTTTGCATACTATTCTTTTAATCACCCAAAGCACCCAAAGCCATCCTAAGCTGGTGAAAGCATAGGCATTCTATTACCTGGGCCTCGAATTCACCTTAGAACAGTGGTTCTCAATCTTCACTGTACATCAGAACCTTACCTAGTGAATCTTTTAAAAACTATCACTGCCCAGGCTCCATTCCTGCAGATTCTATTTCAACTGGTCTGGGGTGAACAGCACGCTCTTCTCAAAGCATCCCCGCCACCCCGATGCAGCTAGGTTTGCAAACCACTGTCCCAGATGCCCACACACTTCCACCCAGTTCGACAGTCACTGAGATAAGAGTCTTAAGCACTAGGCATCAGGGTTGAATAAGGCAAGTAAGCCTCTACTCCTAAAAAGTGTTTAGAGTTCCCTGTGCTTTTAGCATAAAGAAACCAGTATCAGAGATTTATTCCAATCCAAACCAAATAAACTCCCAGGTGAAAAAATTCTCTGGTATAGGTTTCTGTACAGAACAACTTCCTATATCTTCCTTGTCAGTAGCGTGTGGCCTAAATCTGAGCCATGAAAGTTCTGAATGAAAGAAAAATTCAAGTCTGTGCCTTTTGCCATACTTAAAGTACACCACCCACCCCCAAAATGCATACTGCTACATTTCAGATTTACTGTTTTAATAAGGATGGAAATAGGGAGAAGCTGCACAGTACAGAAAACAGAGCCGTGTTCTGAATCAAGGGGCACAGGAATCCTAGTGCTGGCTCTGCCACGACCAGCTGGGCCCCTTCTCCTCTTTGGTCCTCTCTAGCTTGAGTAATCGTTAAATGAGAGGGGTAAAGCACAAAAACACAGACGTTACTCCAAGCTCCAGAACCTAATATTTAAAGGAATTAAAGAAATATAAAGGTGATAGAAATTTCTGCCATAAATCAGTGAAGTAATTACAGCACCCATTTTCCCAGTCTTCAGAAATCAAAAGTGAAAGCTGAGAATTGATCGATCAGTATGACAATTAGACTGGGGCAACAGAGTACACACACTCCTCTGCTCACAGCAGCTGAGGGAACACAATCAAACCAAGCACTGTGATTACCACTCCTCCCTTCCCTCTGCAAATGTCAACTCTATGCGCCAGCTGCTGCTCATCCCACCTAACTCAAGCTTTCATGTACCACAAACCTAAGTTGCCATGCACATTATTACGCTGTGTCTAACCTAATCACCCTAGAAACCTTTTGCTGGAGGTGACTATGTAATAATGAAAACAACTGAGGCCTAACAAGGTTAAGACACGTAATGAAAATGAGGAAGAATGTGCTGTGGAGGGATCACTCGCTGTCTCCCCAGGCCTCTTTCTTCAGTGCCCACTCCCAGACCAGCACGCCCAGGAGTGGCTCTGCTTCCTCCCGCTTTTTTCAGTCCTTTGCTGACCCAGCATTCCCCAGAAAGCTCTCAAGTCCTGGCAACTCTGTCACTGGCTGTTTTGAGGCCACAAAAGCCATAAATGTACTGGACTAACACAGTCCATCTGTCTCTAACAGATCTTTTACTTGTCATGCTGGTCACTTCTGTGAGCAGACGGGTTAAGAAACACTTTGGCAAGTCACCACAAATCCCTCCGCTCCTCCCTCAGGGAGTATGCAGGCTGACTAGTAAGCAGCAAGGACAGCTTTCTTCTCCACCACTCACTGCACATTCCTGTCCCTATACTCGGAGACAGTCCTTCCAAATATAGGCAGGAGAGCCACCTCCTTCCCACACTGAAGCGGGGGAGGGTTTTCTAAGTCTGCAGCAGAACACAATTGTGAGCGGAGATGAGCTGAGCCTCATGCATGTCACAGGCAACACAGGTACCCACTGGTGTCACTAGGCAGAACTACAAATAGCTTTTTAACGTTTCATGCAGTTAGTAGAAATGCTATTTACATGGCTTCACTTCTTACTTGTATGTAGTGCTTTACAGATTGCAAAGCACATTCACCACATGCCTCATTGACTCCTCCCACTGACCTAGTGTGATACTTTTGAGTAGGTTTCATTTATCCCTGTGACAGTTGTGAAATATACATTTGGTCTTCCTCCCTATCTCCTGGCATACAACTCCTACAATACTTAGAATCTCCAAGTGCTATCTTTTTGTATGCTAATGAGTTGACTGATGGCTGGCAGCCCCTAGGCAGCTTCAAGGGCTAGTCACTGGAAAGACCAAGGTAGGACCAGAAGGTTGGGACTTTCTCAGTCCCACCCCACAACCTCCAGGGAGGGGAGTGGGACTGAAGGTTAAGTTGATCACTAACGGCCTAATTAATCATGCCTACGTAATGAGGCTTCTATAAAAACCCAGGAGGCCTGGGTTGGGAGAGCTTCTGGTTAGCTGAACACATGGAGGTCCCTGCCTTTATAATAAACCAGCAAACAACTGTAAGTGCTGCCCTGAATTCTGTGAGCTACTCAGCAAATTAACTGAACCCAAGGAAGGGGTTGTGGGAACCCTGATTTATAGCTGGTTGGTAAGAAATTCCAGAGGCCTGGCTTGCGAGTGGCATCTGAAGTGGGGGGAAGGATTGGGGACTGAGCCCTCACTCTGTGGGATCTGTCTCCAGGTAGTGTGGGGACAGAACTGGAGGGCATCCAGCTGTTGTCCGCTGGAGAATTGCTGGCTTGCTTGCCAGACGGAAGAAATCCCCACACATCTGGTCACAGAAGCCAGAAGTCTTCTGTGTTATTAGTGAGTGACAGTTCAGGAAAAGCTCTTTGGCTATTTGTGTTTTTTCTCAATCTCCATTTTTTTTCATAATGAAACCAAAACTCATGGAAATTAAGTGATTTTTCCCAAGGACATCCAGCTTAGTAGTAGCACAAGAACATGAGGCCTTCTGATTCCAGAACCAGTACTTTTGCTGATATTCCACATGGTCCCTCCATGTTACGTATTGTCTAATTGTGGTTTTAATATGCATTTCCCTGGCAGCTAATGATGTCGACCATCTTTTCATATGCTTATCTGTCACCTGTACATCCTCTCTGGTGAAATGTCTCTTCATGTCTTTTACCCATTTTCTCATTAGATGGTTTAACCATTGAACCTTTGGAGTTCTTTATGTATATTATAGATACTAGCCCTTTATCAGATATGTGGCTTGCAAATATTTTCTCCGAGCCTGTAGCTCATTTTTTCATCCTCTTACCAGTCTTTAGCAGAGCAAAAGTTTTTAATTTTGATGAAGTCCAATTTATCAGATTTTCCTATTATGAACTGTGTATCTGGTGTGGTGTGTAAGAACTCTTTACCTGGCCTAAATCCCAAAGAGTTTCTATACTGTTTTTTTTTCCCTAAAAGTTTTATAGTG